GTTGACTGCAGCTCAGTGGAAGGGAAGAGGCTGGGATCCGTGGTGGGACCCTGCGGAGTCAGCACACACCCTCCCTACCTCCTCCTTCCTACAGGCCCCAGGCAGGCTCAGACCACGTTTCCTGTGCGCGTGACCCAGTGTCCCTATGACTGCTCCCGTCACAGAAAGGCCAATAAGGGGTCGGTGCGCAAATCCTCCAGGTACAGTTCCTCTGCCAGACCTAGCACACAGTCGAGCAAGTGTGGGCAACCATACAGATGAAGTGTCCTGAGGCAGCGTCATCAGGGCCTGGTGTTGTCTTTGGATAGACTCTTTGAAAAGAACAGAAACTCTCTGCTTTATCCCTCGCTGCCAGTTTCCTCCCCAGCTGTTATTAGGGGAGGTGTCACTCACCAGGCCTTGACTGGATCGCCGCAGAGGCCCTTCGGTGCTCCACACTGCACAACCCTAGGCCACACTGCCCCACGTGTGTGATGGAAAGAGTCAAGACTCCCAAGTCACCAGGCTGGTGGATGTGACTCATCTTCTGACCCCTGTGAAGAGAGCTGTGTTTGGTGACCACTGTGCACCTGTCAGCGGCCCGCATCCTGTAGGCCAGGAAAACATCAACTCTTCCAGGAAGGGCTTTGTCTGCAGTTGGAACAGAGGCCACTGAGTCATGGAAGAAACGCAGGTGGATCCAGGAGCCCTGTGTTTACAGTAGGAAGGATTCCCTGTCTCCACCCTGCCCAGTCACCAACACAAGCAAGACAGCTAGCCCTCATTTTTTGTTTGCTTTTAAGCGTTTATGGCCTGTTATCCGTGGGAACAGACAATAGTAGGATACACAAGTAACACTAAAGGGGACACAAAGAACTACGGATGGTGAAGAGGTCCAGCAAGCCTTTTCCTGGGCTCCTGAGCTTGACTCTGCAGGGTCTCTGCTCTCTGGGCCTCTTCTCCACCCAGCATGCCTCACTCCTGCCCGGTCTCAGTCACAGGTCATGTTTGTTTATTTCTTCCTTTTCTATTTTTTTTTTTTTTGAGACAGGGTCTCAGGTAGCCCAGGCTGGCTTCAGACTCACCATGTAGTTGAAGCTGACTTTTAAACTTCTGAGTTTCCGCCTCTACCTCCCAAGTGCTGGGATTATAGGTGTGTGCCACTGTGGCGCTGGGGATGAACTCTAGGATTTGAGCACCTGAGGCAAAACCCTCCGCCACCCAAGCCACACCCTCCACCCCATCTAATTATTTACTAAGCTGCCTATCTGCTTCTTCTTTTGAGCCATAACAGAGAGCCGGCTTGTTAAAATACACAGAACGAAGGGTGGAGAGAGTGCGTGTCTAAAATGAGCAGCAAGAGCAACGGACAGAACCGACAGAGACGAGCTTGTGGAGAGCTCCCATCCAAGAGGAATGGGATAACGGTTGAGAAGGTTCGGGTCAGGAAGGACCATTTTCTGATGAGGGCCGAGGGAGGTGGGAGATCCCATCAAAGCTCAGGGGCTGAGCATCACCTTCTGCTGAATCTTCTCAGTTTGAGTCTACCAGGATGCACATTTTATGAAGGATTAGCAATTTAAGACTGAACTAGAAGTGGTCATTGACCACAGGGCTGGTCTGTTGTACAAGTGGGACAAAGTGTAACTCAAGCCTGGTCTGAGTGCTGTGCCAAAGAGCTCACCTTGTGGGACAGTAGGAGACCCTGGGATGCATGCGCTTCTACAGCAGACACAATAGGTGTCTCTGCTGGCTGGTTTTACGTCAGCTTGACACAGGCAAGTTATCTGAAAGGAGGGAGCCTCAACTGAGAAAACGCCTCCATAAGATCAGACTGCAGGCAAGTCTGTCGGGTGTTTTCTTAACTAGTGATTGGTGGATGAGGACCCAGCCCATTGTGAGTGGTGCCTTCCCTGGGATGGCGGTCCAGGTTCTATAAGAAAGCACGTTGAGCAAGCCATGGGGAGCAAGCCAGTAAGCAGCACCCCTCTGTGGTCTTTGTATCAACCCCTGCCTCCTGTGACTTCTCTCAGTGGTGGACGATTACCTAGAAGTGCAGACTGAAATGAACCTTTTCCTCCCCAAGTTACCTAGAAGTGCAGACTGAAATGAACCTTTTCCTCCCCAAGTTACCTAGAAGTGTAGACTGAAATGAACCTTTTCCTCCCCAAGTTACCTAGAAGTGTAGACTGAAATGAACCTTTTCCTCCCCAAGTTGCCTTGGTCATGGTGTTTCATTACAGCCCCGAACCCTAACTGACTGGCCTCCACGGGGCGTGTCTTGTCTCCTCCCTCCTTAGTAAGGTACACGCCCAGCTGCAGCTCAGGGACAGCAGCTCCTGTGCTTAGTGCTTTGAAGATCTAACTCCGTCCCACAGGTTTGCGGGTGAACACTGATGAGTGCTGCCTGGGGAATTGGAGAGCAGACCATTACAAGGGCTTTTTGCAGCAAGCCAGCCCAGGCCATGGCGACTGTTATCTCTCCTGACAACAAATGGGAGGAAACTGCTAGAGATAAAGATGAGTTTCTGGCCTTCCAATAGAAAAATCCCCTTCAGGGACAATGTTCTGAATGTATCAGTTTGTCTGTTTCTGCCTTAGTCCTTGCTCCGCTGTCTGGGAAGTTCTGTAGACAGAACAGCTGGATTTGTGCTGACAGATTCCGGACCCCACGTGCAGCTTCTGCCAGGAATACAATTGACAGGTGTTTCCCCAAGCCACAGAAAGCCATCCTGATGCACTCCAAACCCTGCCTCATGTGATTTAATTGCACCCAAGAAGCTGCTAATACCTCCCACAAAAGGCTTATGCATTGAAGGCTTGGGTCCCCCGACGGTGGCTCACTTGAGGTGATTGGATCATGAGTGTGCTAACTTTTTTCAGGTGTTTGTCACAGCAACCGAAAGCTGACCACACCATCCCCTGACAGCAGGGCAAAGATGGCCTCAGTTCAGGGCATCTACAGGACAGAGTCACTGTCTCATGGTTCTTTCTCCCTAATCTGCTTGTATGAGAAGCTTCAGAAAGTGGCTATCTTCTCTGTTCACCTGTTAGTAGTAAAAACACCACGTCCTTGTCAGTTTATTGTGGAGAAATTAAAACAACACAGAGTGGGCCGGTGTAAGAACTCCGGTGTCCTTGGCAGACAACAGTTGGCTTGCAGCCAATCTTGTTTCAACACCACTTCCGTCCATTTCCTGTCTTCCACGCCACCCTGAACAAATCCCAGATATCACATCGCTCTACCCATTAATGTTCTAGCCTTTGCCTCTAAAATATGAACCCTTTCCTTTAACATGATTCCAGCATTCTGATTAAAAGTATTCATACATATTCTGACGTATCTTCACACGTCAAAATCTATCAAGTTTATAATTGTCTTGGAAACATTTTAAGCTTTCTGTCTGAACCAGGATCCAATGAGGCTTACACATTCTCTCAGATGAGAGCATTGTTGGAAACAACACTGTTTCATGAAGAAGATATCATTTGTGACCTCCCCATAGGCACCTGTGTTATTTGATGGTGGACTGACTCTTCCTAAGGGGCGTGGGTTCAGAAAAGAGTCATATAGTGGGAAATCGTTTGGCCCTTTGTTAGGTGTCATCATCAGTTACAAAGCACATTGAAGTCTGGGTGAACACATGCTCTAACTCGGAGAACATGGTAGTGACTTGAATGTGAAATGTGTGGGCACTTGGTGTCCAGTGGTGGGTGACACAGGCTGTTGAGTTGTACCACGGTGGTAGAGCCCCTCTGGAAGTGGGTCACTGGAGACAGACCCTGAGGAGGTAGAGTCAGCCTCACATCTTGTCTGTTCTGATTCATGACCACGGATGCGGTGTGGCCAGCTGGCTCATGCTCCTGTTGCCATGCCTTTCCCACAGCAACAGACATGCATTCCTTCTTTCCAGGCATTTCACTGCAAGAGAAGTAACTACAGTGACAGTCTTCCACACCCAGCTCTGCAACATGCATCTCTGTAAAGGGAAGCCTTCCCGCCAGCCTGGTTCCAGAGCCGCATCAGTCCCAAATAAACACACAGGAGACTATATTAATTATGAAGCTGTTGGCCTTGCTTGTTTCTTACTGGCTAGCTCTGACTTAAGTAATTAACCCATAATTGCTAATCTAAGTATTTCTCTTACCGGAGAAGTTTCCGGGCTTCCTACCCCATGGCGGTTACATCTGGACTCCCTGTGTTTCTCCTACCCAGAGTCCTCCTCGACTCCTAGTCCCACCTATCTTGCTTCTCTATTGGCCAACAGTGCTTTATTGACATATACACAGGACTTCCCCCATCCCATCTCTAACACTCTGGTCATTCTAAGGTGTACCTCGTGGCTCCTCTCTTACAGTGAAGACATGCAGCACGTATTAGAAGGACTCACATCAGAGCAGCGTGGATATCAGTGTGGTCTTAAGGAGAAAATACAATTTAGAAAATATTTATATTATCTTTATACTTATGAGAGTTTGCCTGTGTGTATGTATGTGTACACCCGGTGTCCTTAGAGGTCAGAAGAGGGTATTGGATGCCCTGGAACTGGAGTTAGAGACAGTTGTGGGTCACCATGTAAATGTGAGGAACCAAACTTGGCTCCTCTACAAAAGCAACAAGTGATCTTAACAGCTAACCCTCTAAAATGTTTCTTCAATCTAGCTAACTGCTTTTAAAAGCTCAGTTTACCATGAAGCAAAGATATATCACCAGCAGGCATGCCTTGAGGGGTAATCATTCAAAGTTTCAAAACTCCCGACAGCACAGTAGAAATCAGACCGAGACTCTGAAACTCCAGGGAATGGACAGTATGCCTGCTTGGCTCCAGGACAATCCATCCTGATTCAGGGAGGGTTCGGCATGCTCCCCAGGCTCCAGAACAATCCATTCTGATCCAATGAAGGGCCAGTTTGCCTGTGAGGCTCCAGGACAATCCAGATCTGTGTCTTCATTGCACGTTCTTTGAAAATGTTGCAAGAGGGTTCAGAACTTGCCAACAAAATTTAGCGACTTGCTTGAGTTAATTTAAATGCATAATTTTACTGTATTTTCTTATCAAACAATGTTTACTCGAGGCAACAACTGAAGTATGACTTAAAAGAGGAATGCCACACGTGGAGGAAAAAAAGAACCAGAAAGACCCTTACGGTAAAGCCAGACATCCTTTCCAAGGCACAGAGCTGTCACTCTCAGATTGACAGCAGAACACGTCTGTTTCCATGACACAATATCACAAGTGCAGAATCTGCTTTTGAGGCCGTTCCCACTTTATCCCCACTTCTCAGGCTCAGGGAACGATGCTCGTGGCCTTCCTTAGGGCCAGGTAGCCTGTGACCACGTCAGACGGCAGCCTTCGAATGTAGGAAAACTCTTCAATGGTGCTGAACCGCAGCTTGCTCTGAGGGTCTGTGTAATTGGCCTGCGTGAGAAACAGACAGGGAAGGACAGAAAGTTGTTAGTGGAGATATTTTAAGCACAAACTTTAATCTTTTTCCTACTTTACTCAAAGTAAAATACAACTTCGTCAAGTTTCACTGTCACCAAGAACACATGGCAAAGACTCAATCATCTTTCCAGACTTGAGGACCACTCCAAGGGACAGTGTGGAGGAAGAGGAACAGCCCCATCAGATCCTGGGACACTTCTTATTGGTATCTTGAGGGCTGCAAGCTGCAGGCCCCAAACTCCTTTCATAATGGTAACATATCCCTGCCTTCTAACTCCCGCCTCTGCAGAGGCCCCTAACTGGTTTAAGTGCCGAGAAGAAGGGACTGTTGCATTCTTGGCCCTAAGTGGACATCTCTCACGTTTCCAAGGCTCAAGGACGGGGCAGAGAGAAATGGAAGGGGCCAGAGGACTAGGAGCAATGCTGTCCGATGCTATCTCCTGCGAATTACATTTCTTTTGATGACAACAATATAGACAAAGACTGAAAAACAGTAACAAAGCCGTCTCCGAGAGCCCGTGGCCGTGCAACAGTTGGGTGGGCTCTCTGGTGGGGCAAGCCACCCTCACATTTTCCCCGAAGGGATTTGGATTATCTGGCTCCACAGATAAAGCTATGACCCAGCCTCCTGTGGTTCTGTATGTGGCAGCCTCACTCCCACCACCAGCCAAACCGCACTGTGCTGAGCTGGCCACCCAAGCTCACACTTCATGCCAAGAAGGCTGCTGTATAAACAATTCAGAACACAGAGATCTTGTGGCACAGGCGAAATGGTCACAAACAAAAGCTGGAACAGACTGGACCCAGGAGCCAGCGTGCAGTGCTCCGAATAGAAAGGAGCATGCCAAACTATATCCCCGAGCCAGATGAGTAAGGACTTTCCCACCCCCTCTGGATTCCGTCCCTCGGGACTGGAAGAAAACAGGCTGCCTGCCTATGGGGACTTGGCCAACTGCTTATGCCTTGCCCCAGCTTTAGGATGACAGGCAGTGTTCACAACCTCCCAGGAGCCTCTGGAGTCACAATATTCATCATAGCTTTGCAAAATGAGGGTGTGACACACACGTCCATGCCTTCCTTCCTGTGGCCAAGCAAGATGAACTATACTAGCATCTAAAAATTAAAATTAAAGCATTTCATAGAGTGAAAGTGCCCTTTGCTGGGCGGTGGTGGCGCACACCTTTAATCACAGCACTCGGGAGGCAGAGGCAGGCGGATCTCTGTGAGTTCAAGGCCAGCCTACCAAGTGAGTTCCAGGACAGGCTCCAAAGCAATACAGGGAAACCCTGTCTCGAGAAAAAAAAAAAAAAAAAAAAAAAAGAAGAAGAAGAAAGAAAGTACCCTTTACCAGCATCTTCTACCTCAAAGTCTTTTGCTTCTCTCGAGAAAACCAGTTAGGTGGGATCCCTTCCACTTTTAAAATTTATACCTTACTAAACAAACCAAGCAGAGAAACTACCCAGCAAGTGTGTATGCATGTGTGTGCATGCGCGCACCCCTGTGAGTGCATGTGCATGTGTTTTTAATCACACAGCCCACACACTTGGCCTTTTGTAGTCAAGGATGTGCCCTGGAACATGGACACGGATCTGCCTCACAAGATAACAGAGCACGTCTCAAGGAAAGACCTCCAAGGGACCCCCAACACTTTACTAATAGGCTCTCAGAAACACTTCTGCCTAAGTTCCTTGAATATTCTACTTCTCCAGGGAGCTGCATAGAAGGCAAATTGCCAAGTCATAGGTTTTTTGTTTGTTTTTAATAAGAAAAACTGACAAACTGTTTTTCAATGGGGCTTCATCAATACCCTTCCTACTCCCAAACAGCAGTGGAGGAACACACATTTTCTTTACACCCAGGCTGAAATACACAACCCAACATTGTCAGTCCTTCCAGCTGCCAGGGAGGCCGAACACCTGCTGATCACCCGCATCCCCCGTCTCACTGCCTACCGCTTCCTGCGTCTTTTAAAGGGCTGTCTGTCAGTGGTTTGGGAGTAGAGTTCTTCTATATTCTGAAGACCTTAATTCTTATATTCAGGGCTTAGGTAACTTGTGTATATATGGCAAGATCTCTGTTGATGCCACAGAGGCCTGGAATAATGTTCTTCAAAGTGGTGCTTCTTCACAGAAGAGAACCACTGTAGCAGCAGACAGCTGCTTGCCATGGCTGAGGAGACCAGGCATGCCAAGGGGCCAGCTTCTGAGTCTGCTCAGAAACCATGACTTCCAGCTGCCCAGAATGACAAGGGCAAGATTCCCATCTCAGGACCCACACCAGCCTTCCTGCCTCAGATAACCACTGATACCCACGCAGCACACATCCAGCAGACAAGCGGCTTCAAGAGAGCAATGGCCAAGGAAACGTGGGAGACTCAGGGCGTAATTCTAGGATAAAGCTGTGGATCAGATTGCTAGATGGACATACACAACCCAGTGAAGAAAAGCTGGAAACAGAATAAGCAACAAAAAAATTCTTTAAAATTTTTGGTTTCTCTATTGGGGACTGCTAAGAACCTTGAACAAAATGGAGTCTGTCAGCCATTTCTTGGCCTTCTGCCTACGTGACTGCGGGCACACATGCCCTTGAGACAAATGAAATAGCTAACCACAAAAGTTAAATTTACACAGGGCAGCCCACCCGCCTAGCCAGGGGGAAGTAACCCTTATAGAACAATTGCCTTTGTTGGCAAAAGGTTAATGTGTTCCTTTGGATGCTTTTACCATAATGATAGGCAGAAGTAAGCCTTATAGAACAATTGTCTTTGTTAACAAAAGGTTATTGTGTTCCTTTGAATGCTTTTTACCCCTATTTCCTGCATCTGGCTTACACTGATAAGCATTTGCGTAATGCAACTGATGGAAAAATTACAGCTTCGTCTTTACCTTATTTGGTGTATACTTGAGTTCAGACTTGATTGACATGCTTATACCACCCCCTGAGTTGCTCTACCTATAAAAACTATTTCACCCCCAAGAATAAAGGCTCTTGATCAGCAAAAGTTGTCTTGAGCCTGTTTCCCTTAGCCTCTTGAAGTTTGCTTTTTAAGATTGGATCTGCTCGTGAAGACCCATCAAATTAGTAGCGACCCTCATCACTTCATCCCCGCGGGTCGGGGGTCTCCTCCGGGGCTCGCATTTCTCTAAATGATAACTGAAGCAAGAACTAATAATAGTCTATTTTGTGCTATCTGACATACAATAAACATGACAACAAAGAACAAACATGTCCTCACACTCCACACAAAGCAGAGCAGTGCTGAAAATAAACTCAGTTTGGTAAGACAAGCATTAGGACTATGAGGGCAACCATTCACATTTTAAAAAAGGGCATAAATAAAAGTTTAAATGTCCAGTTAGCCCGGTACCCTCATGAGGAAAGTATGTGACAGTTCTATAGTAGAGACTAATTTTGTTAAAACATACTGTACATGTGTTTAATCTTGTTCAAGGTATTGCACCTATACAGCTCATTTAACAATGTAACACAAACTTCTAGTCCTTGAAAGTTATTATTACCAACTATATAAGATAATAAGGAAATGTAGGTTAGTAATTAGTCACGTATTACAATCGAACTTGTAGCCATATTAGGCATATTATCAAGGTCAAACATATAATTTAGATAGGTCGTCTTCAAACACTTCAGAGATCTACAGAGTATGGCATTTAAGATGTTTTAATAACACAGGTTCTTTTTTTAAATGACAATGAGACATGTCTGCTCCTGGCAGCACCAGTCTACGTGAGAGAAGATGATAGGCATCAAAGAAACTAACATGGAGTTTACATTCTTTGTAGCAAAAATAGCCACTGGACAAGCAAGTGCCCTTGTCTCAACTGTTGACAGTATGCTGTCCAAACTGGAGCAGGACAAAAAGAGGGACTGCAAAATCCTGCTAAGACAAGGCAGGACAACCCTTCAGAGAATCCTGCTCCACAGGAAAGTCTGTCAGAGATGCTGGGCCTATAGGCTGAAGATGGATGCCCCAACGTTGTAGAGGAACCTTGGGTGACTGCCCACACAGGAAAGTCTGTCAGACATGCTAGGCCTACAGGCTGAAGTTGTAGAGGAACCTTGGGTGACTGCCCAGGCAGCAGTTGTTTTAGCATTTCTCACATTTTTTGGAAGTCACTTGCTCGCACTTCCTGTTTACTCAGTTGATACTATTTTCTTCTCGGGTCTCTGAAGGAGTTGAAGACTAGATAGAAAGGTTATAGTTTTCTTTGTTTACCAAATTCAGAAAAGAAACTCAATAAAGATGTGTAAAGTGTAAAAGTATGAGAGACATTAAAAGATAATTTGATAATGCAAATTAGAATAGAAAATAAATCACATACAAGACTTTGGACTTACCAGGACAGGATAGATAACAGAGTATTTTCTCTGAATTTGTTAAATGCTAATGGACTAGACGTTGCTGATGTACTTATTGCCTGTATACATTATATATACTTATTGTATATAGTTTTCCTTATGTTACTTGTAGCCTTCTTTTTGTACTTGATAAAAAAGGGGAATTGTGGTGATATATTACTTTGATTTATTAACGATTGCTTGAGGATTCACAAAGCAAAAGCAGCTACAAGCTACAGAGGTCAGGCAATGGTGATACATACCCCTAATCCTAGCAGCCACACTAGCTAGCCAGGAAATGGCGGCACACACTCGTGATTAAGAGGTAGACAGATCTTTGTGAGTTCAAGGCCACAGTGACTACACGGAATTGATCCAGCCCTAACAGAAGCAGTGTACACAAAAGTGATCTCTGCATGTGGGATCACATGTTTTTAATCCCAGCTCTAGGGATATGGAGACAGGAGTGATATGGCTGGATGGAGAAAGGAATAAAAGGCAGGAGGAGACAGGAACTGAGAGCTTTTGTCTCTGAGGATTGGTGGAGACAGGATACCCATATCGGCTGGGGAGAGGTAAGATCTATTGGCCTGGATGCTTTGCTTCTCTGATCTTCA